TGGCAACAATCGGCAGTAGTTTCTATAGCTAGTTCATATTTTTCTCACTATTTTCGGTTTTTCTGCGGACTGCACCCAATGGATTGGCCACCGTCTAAAAAAAAGTTGTTCTTTAGAAACTCTTTGTAAAAGTCATCATTTCTTTTTCGGCTTCTCCATGTGGCACGGTTTCCGTCTACAATCTTCTTGAGTCGGTTGACTGCTGTTACTACTAAATTTAAAGACTGTAATTTGAATGCCTGGAGGGCATATTGATCGGTTGCAGACTCCGCAATGATTCCGAAGGGTCTTCTGTGGAGCGGAAGCATTTCCCGGAAAATGGCAGTCCAGAGGTGTATAGGGAGGTGGTCGAGTGGGATATAATGGACTTTTATTTCAATAGAGACGTACTGGAAGGCGCTCTGGAGGGGGGTCATGCTGCAACACCACCTCCCTCTCCCATCAGCACGTCGCGCACCGAGTTGAAGGCTCAAATGAACTGACGATCTTTCGGAGTACAGTTCATGAGTAACTGTTGAAAGCTGAGGTAAAAAAGGTAATTCAATGCGAAAATGTTATCATTACACCCTCAGACCCTCAATCAGTTTAGATAGGGATAGCGGTTATGTTGGCAAGAGTGAGAACACGTTCTGCACCACCGTGCATGCGCATGGTCACGTTTCACGTTCTCATGCAGTCCTGCGCACATCTTACGCGATGTTTTCGCAATTGCGCAATGGATAGAGGCGGCGTCTCGGGTTTATTTGATCATTGGATCAATTTCCGCTTAGAGAAAACGGGCTTCCCTCCTTCGGTTGAACTGTTATTTGGTATAAGAAAGGATTCAGAGGATGGTAGTAGCATCAGTTTCAGGTGGGGGATTTGCACAGGCTGAACCCCAGCACTAACGGAATCCACAGAGCATGACACAGAAGTGCAGTCAAATGTTTTCTGCTTTGTGCCTGGGTGACAAACATGGTTCGTCACAACCCGAGCTAAACTTTTCCAGGGTTTTGATTATTGTACTTCCCATCGACGTGTCGATCTATTTAGACAGCCTCTTCTCGAGTTGACAGGTTTTAATTTGGCTTGATGACCTTGCTCCAGCTTCACAAGAGTTCACAGGTTTCGCCAGAGTGAGACTTGTAAACCGGAACTAAGGAAGCAATGATAGTACAAAATGCCCCCCCCCGTCGCTGAACTGCGCCCGGGTCCAGCCATGTTCATTTAGAGACGCAGCAACGCCCTCTTCATATCCCATATACATATAAACTGTGAGTCGCCATTGTGTAGGAGCCGTCGTTTGGCTCCGGGAAGTGCGAGTGTTCCGCAGTTCCTCGAAAATTTGACATTGAGCAACTTTCAGACCATCAAATTGGGCACCATTATCTGTGGAAACGACGAAGCGATCTGTGACCCTGAAGGAGGCCTAAAATGAGTACGGCTAATACCCGTGCGCGCCAATAGTCCGTTCTCGGTTCTGCTCAATTTCAAGATGAAGCTAATGTTCGTTATTTCAAAGATTCAAGCCAGACATCCGATTGCCCAACAGAAAACGCGTTTCAAAGCTGTCAAAAGATAGGAATAAATGATGTATGTGAACGCGTTTCGTATCGCCAATCGAGCGCTCCAATTGAAATGATTCCCAATTCTGTCACTTTTGGGTTTTTATGTTACGGAAAACATTTGAAATTCATCAAAAGATGTATTCATATTCAGTTCTCATGAATTTCAAGTATTTAATGTCAAGATTCCGGATCCCGGCATATAAAACATGGAACATGCCAGTCAAATAGCAACCTTTCACTTTTATGGTCCAAGGTCAACCACAAGTCTTGGTTACCTGCTGAATAAGTTTTTAATCTTTTGAATACTAAGAACATTTCAGAAAAAAATGAAGATTTTGTTATCAACATCCCTTTTGAGTAACTATCAAATGTTCACTATACTATCAAATGTTTGTGAATAACTTATTAATTACCGAGTTGTTTATGAGAACATAGCTAGCTAACGCAGACCACACGAGAAAACAGTGGCATATAATTCCCTTCTCAAACCGGTTTAGCGCATCTCTAAAACGATGCAGCATTGCATAATAGGGGGGCCTCTTGCAGCGGTAAGAGGAGCAGTTGTGAAGGATCTCACTTGTTCTCCTTCTCTATTCTGATCATACAGGTCCGCATAGCTTTGCGAATCCGGGTTGCCCAGAGAGACATCAATAACAGTCTCGTCGAAACAGGGGTGCGGAGGTTAACCGCTCTTCTAAGGAGCTGGCCCTGAATTACTAATTAGCAGGAATTGGTGGCATTAGTTGGGGCGCGATTACAATGAAAGGGACATTTCGGCGCAGTATTTCCTGTGATTACGGTATTCTTAGTTTTGCGCGCTTCTAAAGCTACCATATGTTGGATGGTTCGTTCCTACGGCATTCCTCCAATTTTTTTTCTTATGTTGAACGTCATTCAGAGCTGCATGGCACGCTAAGGAACTCTTAGGTTGGCCCAAGTAATAGCGTTGTTTTTCTCACACAAAATAATAATTTTTTTGCCGTTCTTAGCTCAGTCAAAAATTGTTTAGAGGATCGCAGAAAAGTACATGCCGAGGAATCGACATCTGGCAAAGGTTCCACCAATGTTTCGGCATGCTGAGGGCGGCGTACCAGGTGGGAGACGCGCATCTTGAACACGAGTACCCATAAAAAACTAGTTAGTTGGTCCTAAAGCACCACAGATGGCAAAAAAAGTGGATTGAGACCCCGACTGATCACATGCAGGAATTCGCCAGGCACTCGCATTGTGGGCGGAGCGTGCGCCTAGGTGAGCGGAGCCAATCCAAAAAAATTCGTAAAACGCTTCCAGAGCACTCCAGACACCGGAACAACATAGTTTAAGAATCGCGAGGTATCGGTTCACAATGTGAGTACACTTGCTAGGTGCGAGCGTGCGCCGAGGTGGGCGGAGCCAATCCAAAAAATTCGTAAAACGCTTCCAGAGCACTCCAGACACCGGGAACAAATAGTTTAAGATCAGCGAGGGGTCATCGGTTCACAAGTGTGAGGTACACCTGCATTGTGGGCGGAGCGTGCGCCGAGGTGGGCGCGAGCCGATCCAAAAAATTCGTAAAACGCTTCCAGAGCATTCCAGACACCGGGAATAAATAATTTAAGATCAGCGAGGGGTCTTTGGTCGAGAAGCGCGAGGCATACGTTGTGGGCGGAGCGTGCGGCCGAGTGTGGCGGGCAAATGGAAAGAATTCCTAAAAACGATTTAGCAACACTCCAGACACCGGGAAAAGTCCTAGTTTGAGAATAAGCGAGGTATATCAGTTCACAACGGGGAGGCACATTCGGCTGTGCGGGAGCAATCGAGTCGCGCCAGATGGTAGGGCACATTTCAAAATTCTTAACACGTCCGGAATGCTCCACGATCACGGGAAAAAGTAGGTCATCGAGGAGTCACCGGTTCACAGTTGTGAGGCATACCCGTTGTGGGTGGAACGTGCGTCGAGGTGGGCATGGCCAGCCCTAAGGTTTCTTCAAGCGGTTCCAGAGCACTCCAGGCCTCCTCTGTGATACGGCCCGGCTTTGCGGGGCGTGGTCCATCGCGCCTGCCTGCATTCGTATGATCAAATGCTCGACCATACCCGGCTTTTCTCTCCCTTGATCAGCGCTCTTTTTTACCATCCCATACACCATAATGACTTCACTAGCGCATTAGGTTCGATGCTTGTCTGTGAAGCCTGAAATAGAATATTTGAATCGTTTGGATGGTTATAAGTCTTCCTAAGAGACATAGCTTTCCAGCCATATATTTAACAGGTAGGAGTGTGCGATTTGAGCTTTTTATTTGAGTGCATGAAAAAGTGGCTGTCGACAATGCTCAAATTCGTCGACCTGGCTCTCCAATTTGAGCACTCAAAAACTGGTGGAATTGGAATCTTCAAAAAAAACTAGAAGAAGGAATTCTCCGCAAAACGGTGTAAAGCACACTAACGAAACTTTTCATCTTTAGTGCAAAATTGCGAGTTAGGAAAAAACGCCATTTCTTATGGGCCAACCTAATATTTAGACCCGTGGGAAATGGATTCTACTAGAGAGCAATAAACAGATGCCACGCTTCATTGGAATAGGCCCAAAACTGTTAATACTCATTTAGGTGACAGGAATACTGAGAAACTGTAGGTCAAAACGGGAGCCAAACCTACACCTTAGAAGACGGCTGAGCTATGCGGTGACACTAGTGGATTTCTCACTTTCCAGTTTTCCACCCTTATCTGATATAACATTTCTGAACTTCTATCGTATCACGAAGCAGTGGCGCGGCTTACCACTTGCACGGGGGGGGGGAGGAAGCGTCAACTTTGGGATTAGCTGTCGCCCTGAACAGCCACGTCTTACACCCCTTCGGGTCAGAGAATCGCTATGAGTCCCATCTGGGAGAATAAAACTTCGAATGTTGTCCCGGAATCCATTTTGTAGGCCATATCGCGTTCAAAAGGCACTACGATCCTGAAGATAAGTAGAATTCATGGCGCATCCCAACAAAGTACTTGTCAGGGAATCTAGATAATTCAAGATTTTACTCATATAAAGTTCCACTTATTCTGTAAAAAGTTGGTTGGTGTTTTATACGCCTGTCACTGAAGAATCTTATGAAAATGGTGTACCCCGACAGCGTCCTCTTACGCGAAAGGATAAGGGACCACAAAAATTCTTTTCTGTCTTACGGCCGTTCACGAAATTCTATAGTTTTCTCAGGCTTAGCTTTGATTGTACGCGGGTTTTTCCATATAATGAGATTAGTCGAAATCGTCAATAAACCAGTTAAACTGAAAGCATTAGCTATCTAGAACAGGAACATCTCATTAGACTAGTTAAAGCCAAGCAAGCAGGAATGCAGACGTAGTCTCGCCTGTTATATCTGGTCAAAAAGCCAAAAGCCAAAGTCAAGTTGTAAATACATTCAATTGAGATTATTCATAATTGCATTTAGGAGTGGTAGGGGAGTCATTAAATAGTCCCCCTGTTTCAGATCTGTTATATCGACAGTTCACTAGGCGACAGTCCATCGTCATTATCGTCCGCCTCACTAGACGACACGATAGCACCACATTCGGAACGAGATCAAGTTCGAAGTTCAGGTCAAACACCCGCCGAACACTTGAAGGACCGCATTTCTACGACTAGTAGACCATTACTAGTACATGAAACGAGTAGCGCGGTATTTTTGCCAAATTCCAGGTCGAAATCAACTTGGACGAACGTATAGCCCCGGTCTACCGTTGTCGATGTGCGAAAGGGAAGAGATCGTGAAGTTATTTCAGGTACGTGTAGGCCTGGCTGGGTACTTTGGTTGGCTTCTGAAGATTTTTGGATTTTTTGCGATATTTTAAATTACTTGAAATCTTCAAACTCGTCCTTATTTTATACCGAGCTATCGTCCATATCGCAGGGCAGCAGGAGGCTGCCTGCGTATTCCATGAAACTTTCTGCTCCTGTACAAATATACCTCTCCTTTTTTGTTCGCAACCTGCTCGTTCCCCTTGCCTTGGTATTGCTACCCTCGCATATGGACTTTCTGTCATACTCGCATCAAAAGTGTATCAGCCAGAACTCATAGGTGTCCTGCCCGTCATGGCAGTCATGCCATGCATGTTTTCATATTGTTGTGTTGCAGGTATGTGAAGGTCTGTATGGGTGTCGCAAGTCACAAACTTGGCACATTCCTACAGGCCTGCTTGGGAATCCTAAGTCCTGATTTTTTCAACGTAGTGGACTTAAATACAATCCACGCGTGGCATATTGTGAATAGTGGCTTTCAATTACAGACTCGTAGCCGCTAGGCGACTCTTCAGGGAAGAAAAAGCAAAAAATTCATGGAGAGTACCCCGTGTAAGAACCTGGCAGCCCTCTCTGGACGAGCTGTCCGGACTTGCTCGTTTTATGCCAGGGAAGTGACATCCTGCCGCTCCTCTCTCACTTATCGTTTCCTGGCGACATCCAACGCTAATACCATGTAGCAGTGAAGAACAAACCAGAACAAAGTGTAGGAATAAAGTCGTGACAGAAAATAAAGCAGCCCTAGGTTTTATAGGGTTTTGGGTCGCGGAACAACTAGGGAGGCGTTAGAGCGTCAGAACTGCCACTTATGAGGGCCACAGCCCCTTCTTGTTTTATTGTGAAGCCAATAAAAAGGAATAACCATAGAGACTGTGAACCAGACCACTTGAACAAGAAGCGTTCACCAGGCTAGGTTGAGCACGCGGGTCTCTCAATCAACGAAAATTTGTTTCTCAGTCGATAAGTGAGAGAGGCTTTTTCCTTCCTAGATCTCAGTTTTTCGATCAATGCCGACTAGTTCATTTGAATGAGTCGAATACTAATTGAAATGCGTTTTCAAGCTTGTTATCTCTCCCTATGAATGGAATTGATGAATAATCAACCAGACTACTCGGAGCGAGTTGGACTGACTCGCTGCTGAATTTAATTGAGATTTCTAGGCTTATCTCATTTATCAAGGCATGTCTGTCCTTTTCGCATTCCAGCGAGCAACGAAGAAGGGAGTCCGGGCAAGGGCTCAGCGGTCTGTGATTGGTAATCTTCAGGAAAATCCCGTGGGAAGGAGAAGTATCTGATGCTTTATCATCTCCTTTCAAGAAGTAGTCGCCTAAGAACATATACATTTCAATCGGCTTTTTGTCTCTTTAAAAACCCCGAAAATAAAAAAAAATTAGAAATTCTTGCGGCTTACTAGTGCATCATTTCCTAGAGGCACCGTACTCTGAGGCATGAGGAGGAGAACCCTTCATCCTTCAATGTAATTGTTCTGCACGGCATTTGGCTTTGCCGGTGTAGCGGAAAATCATGGAGGCGCGGGAGATACATGGTGTTAAACCAGAAATGAGCACAAAGGACGGTTAGCACTCAGGGCAGGACCTGACCTGTTTTTCGAAACACGACCTCCAGAAATTTTTTTCCCGTTACCAGTTCGCTTCCCAGCCTACCTGACATTCATGACTTCTCCCAAAAGTTCTCAGTCGAGCGAGAATGGAGGTAGACACATCTAGTCATCTGTCACAGTGGTTAACTTTGCGCTCATAACTAGGGAGCAGGAGAGGAGTAGGGGCGGAGGTGTATACAGCGCGCCTGGAGAATTGCCGTGGAGTATGGAACCTTTCCATTGATACCACATTTGGAATGTTTCAGGCTGGATGGAAAATCTGCGACATATCAAAGCGTCTTTGTGTCACTCACAGTTGTGTAAGCAAGATATTGAACAGGTAAGAAGTGAAATGAAAAGCGGTGTAATCAAGTTGCAGATGAATTTGATATTACGACTAATCATCGATTTCAGATACCGTCAGACGGGTTCAGTTAGACCGAAAGATGCCAAAGAAGGTCGAACGGAATCACCATTGGTGACTGCGGTCAGAGATTACCGGTAAGAAACCCACACTGGCGTTTGACGTTAACAAGTTGAAATACTCAGTCTGAACCTACGTAAGGCGATCTCCTGATAGAGTACCACTGGCCAACCAAGCCTTTCCTATACTTGCACCTTAACTCGTTTGCGTCTACGTAGCAAGGCGATGAGCACTTGCACACCGTGCCCTAAGTTGCCTAGAAAGCGTGGGAGATACAAATCTGACTCTTTCTGCAAGAACATCTGCAAGAACATCTGAGCGCGCAGCTGACCTGAACGTGACGATTAAGGTTCAGTGACACCCCTTACAGCGGGCGCGGTAGAGACTTACTTTCAGAGCTAGTCAAATCTAGGCCAATGTACCTTATCTTCTTACTTAATTACCACCGAAGTTAGTGTCCAAGTGCGACTCTTTGTGAATCTTGGCCCAGTTCTCAGTGCTCCGCTCCTTAGCTCCTTTGCTTACTTACTTCACTTCTTACAAAAATCTGTGAGATCTGTCGGGGAGGGCAGTAACACAATGTTCGACATCGGCTGATGGATGTTCGGGCCGAAAAATCAAACTGCCCTTGATTTATTGAGCTTTTGTCATTCTACTGCTCCAATAGGCCCTACGCTTCAGTAGAAGGTGTGATGTATTTTCGTTAATTTATTTGAAGGTATAAAATGAATTTAGTTTGGCGCACATCCTGTTGACTATAAATAGGCGTGGCATAAAAGTATATTAAGCATACCCGCTCGCCAAAGAACATTCGGCACACTAAAGGTGAAAAACCTGCTCCTTTCACTTAGTAAACAACCGCAAAAACACAATGGAATGTTTTTATACAATATGGAAATTGTTCTGCAGTAAGGCGATTACGTTGCTAGTCGTGTAGGTACTAGCACCATCACCCCATGCGGGGAGAAGGGGGAGGGGGGGGTGCAGTATACAGAGACACATTTTACAGAGGGAAAAGTAAGTAAACTCAAGCGCCAAAAAAACTGTTCTGTACGGGTTTATGTTTCTTGTATTTTTTTTTTCTGTTTTGACATGATATGTTGTTACCGTGCCTGTTTTTCTTTTACCTTCTTTTCGTAATCATTTGTTTTAGACCCGGCTGGCGAATGAGCGACAAGTGTGAAATTCGGAGCAAACTCATCAAGGATGGAATGTTGCACACGAGAGACGCGCCCCGAGTCGATCTCAACTCACCATACAGAAGTACTTACGGTTCTGCTCAGGTATTGGTTCGGCCCACTAAGTTAATGGGCGTTTTCCAATCTGAACATTTTGTCTCAAAAAAGTGAAAATTTTTGCAGACCAAGCCATGGAATAACATGTGAAGGAGAACTCCACGTAGATATAAGAATATCAAAGCTGACTTTCAGGGAGAGAAATAACTTTGGGTAAATTCTTCTGGTGTCTCGAAAGTCGAAAAGTGAATCGGCGAGAATCAGCAGCCTCGACAAACCAGCTCTATTTAGTCTACTCGGAGGGCTAAATCGCCTTAGTGCTCCTCACCATCGAGAAAGGGTGAGGTAGAACTCTCAGCAAGGGAATCTCAATAGGACGCTTTGGAACTAATTTCAAGAATTTCAAAGTTGGCAACCTTCACCTCGCCAATAGTGGGCAGGCTACGTCTGTTCCACCTAAAATTTTATGCTAATAGTGAATGTTTCGCTGATATGTTATGCATATTCTGATAGCAAATTTCGTGCTCTATAACACTGCCATGGAAAATCTGTTCTCCGGAGCTGTTAAGTTTTTTGTTAGTTTCAGGTTATCATTACGGAACGTGAGGTACGAGGATATTAGCGTTCCCTATTTTCCACGAATTTGTTATCTTTATATCTGAATGTTCTATGTGTTCCTAACAATGCTACTGATTACAAACTTTGTGCCTCTATAACTGCGTTAAACGTTATTCTGAAATTGTCTGATCTTCCTCTGTTTTCTCAGGTGTAGGATGGACATGTCAGGGCCGATTACAGCATCAGCACTTCGGACATTTCTCCTCCTTTTTCGCATTCAATAGAGGAATTAAAGCTGCTGATGCTGTTCGGAGAATTTGCGAAGTGTACGGACAAGACGCCCTCCCTCTCAGAACAGCCCAAAATTTGTTCAAACGCTTCTTAGGATGGACGAACTCTCCACCTACGACGACGAAGTCAATCGCCCGGACCCGCGTCTATGCCACGACTTCGATGAGGACCGCCTCAACCATCTTGTTCATGAAAATCCACGCAGTACAATACGAGAGAACTGGCACAGATTATGCAGTGCTCCCACACCACCCAATCGAGCGTCACGGAGATAAGACCCAAAAGCTCGTGCCTGCGGCTTCCGCCACTCCTTTAGCGATAGCGTAGAGCAGAGGAACACAATCGCGCTAGGCTTGCTTGCCGCCATAAAGCGTCTTATGGCCACAAGCAACGACTTCTTACTTCGGACCTTGTGACGGTGATGAACCAAGGTGACTGTCATTATTGACACATGAAAGCAGCGCAAGGAATGGGTGAGCCCCCAAAAACAGGCAACACCGCGGGCTAAGCAAGAACTTCATTCACGGAAAACGATGTTGTGCGTGTAGTGGGACTTGGACAGGCCAATGCATCCACTAACGAGAACCGCTCCTGAACCGACACCAATCATCAGCACGGAGCTGTATGTGTCAGCCAATGAGCGAGTAACAAATACAGTGCCTCATCCAGAAATAAGCGACCTGACCTCAGTATGGTCGTTCCTGCTAGACACGATAATCCTCGGTCCACCATGTCGCTACATGACCAGCGGCTATAGAGACATTCGGCTGGGAGGTCCTTCTACATCCTCCACATTCTCCTGATTTGGCACCTTCTGATTTCCATCTCTTCTGATCCCTTTCGAATGCGCTGCGTGATGTGTCCTTTATGATGTCGAACTGAGGCCTTGGTTAGATTCCTTCTTCAAAGTCGCGGCCCACAGGATTTTTACCGAGCAAGGCATGAACAGCTCAACTGGTTGGGTCGGCTGGAGGAGGTTGCTAAGAAACAATGGCGGCGAATATATATTGACTAGTTTATTGTAAATATCTATATTTTTTTATAGTTTTGTAAATACTGTGCTTGAAATTTATTAAAGAAAACAAAAAAAAATCGTGAGGTATGTGTCGACCGGATGTCAGCAAGGTCAACGTTGTTGGTTGCGCTTTTTTCCAGAATCAATTGTGAGCAGGTCTAATACTAATTTGTTACTCTATGCTTTACTCAAACCATGGCGATTCTATTGAGCTGCTCTGGCTGTTGACACAGCTTCTGTGGACAGCGGTAGGGAGAGGAAGTCGGGAACGCTGATTCTTATGGACCTCACGTTCCGTAATGATAACTTGAAATTAACAGAAAGTAAACAGCTTTGTAGAACAGATTACTATTGCACTGTTGTAGAGCATGAAATTCACTATCAGAGCATGGAAATATATCAGCGAAACATTCAACTATTAGCATAAAATTTTAGGTGGAACAGACGTGAGCCTGCCAATATTGGCGAGGTGAAGGTTGCCAACTTTGAAATTCTTGAAATTAGTTCCAAAGCGTCCTATTGAGATTCCCTTGCTGAGACTTCTAGCTCAACCTTTTCCAAATGTATGGAGCAGCTTAAGCGATTTTAGCACTTCGAGTAGACGTAAATAGAGGCAGTTGTCGAAGGTGCTAATTTTCGCCGACTTCACTTTCAACTTCAACGACTAAAAAATTCACAAAAAAATTATTAGCTGTTTTGATATTCTTATACTACGAGAAGTTTCCTATCAGATGATATCAAGCTTGCTTGCAAAACATTTCACTTTTGGAACAAAATTTTCAATTGAAAAAAACGCCATTACTTATGTGCCAACCCAATATGTAGAAGGAACTAGTTCAAGGATAAGTTGCTTTGGAGAGTTTTGTGCGGACAGGAGCGGAAAATCGAAGATCACGTATGCGATGCGGGCGATGCCTCTAAATTAGGGCAGGTCCTGCTGTTGGAGGAAAATTTTGCAAAATTTGATCCCCCCCGAAGTTGGCCTCCTCAGTACAGCTCCCCTGCCCTTCTCCCCATCCTACCTGCCATTGTCCTGAATTCTCCTAGCTTTTTACCCCTTTTCCAGAGTTTTTCACAAATTTCTTAGTTTTTCCTCAAATAACTGCCGGTGGGGGGAGGACACGCACATTGATGGCAAAAACTAAGAAAGGTCAACGATCAAAAACATTTTATTTACGTAGGCACAATGACCCGCAAATATGACCCTCTACCTCAGCGACCAGAACGTCTCATATAGGTTGACAGGAGGGGTCAGCATTTATGGAAGCGAATATGGAAACTCCAGGAGCAATTCAAGAACCTTTTCCTGTTCTAGGTAAACTGCATCTCTCTCGAAGTAGTAGCTCTTGTCTTGGATTCACACCCGCATCTACATGTTGCATGGAAATTCGTTTGCGGAGGGGTGTGAAAGATCATAGAATAGCCGTTAAACAGCGTCCAGACTTTGCGACGGCAGCGCTTCGGTCGCGCATTCGACGCGATCGATGCACATGCTTTCGACTGCATCGAACACGCGACCAAAGCGCTGCCGTCGCGAAGTCTGAACGCTGCCTTAGTGGTGAGGTGTGAGGAGAAGGGCCCTATCGAACAAGTTCATCTTCATGAAAAGCCCTTATAAATAAGGAAAGAAGCTATATTCTCTATACTCATAAGAAGACCATAGACCGGTTGGCTGCTTCCCTCTCTATGATTGACTGATTGGCTGAACTTCGGTGCGGCCAGTCAGAGCGGACTTATCGCGGACTTATCAAAAAGTGGATCCCAACGGTTTGCCCTGCAATTAAGAGTCAATCAGCGTCAACCGTTCAAGGCTATACTATCTATATTA